TCCAGAAAGGTTAAGAAATTTCCCCAACGTCAGATAACTAAGAAGAGTAGATCTGGAATTTGAACCCAGAGATACAGATCCCACAACTCAAGCTGTTAAACTCTGCTGTGAAATACAAGTAATGTGTGATAGTAGAACAGGATAGAACAAGGTCAAGTCGTTCACAGAGGAGAAATCAGGAACCAATAAAGACTTTTTGCTCCTTCTACTTATTAGGAGAAGAAGCAAAATGGGCAAGCTCTGTATTAATTTCATTTTCAAAGGCAAATACTTTCCTATTGCTTATTTATACTCCCCATATAAGCCAAAAAGTCATTAGATTTTAGAGTCCTTCAAAGAGAAAAGAAACCTGTCATTTAATTATCTTGGAAACCAATATATTTTTCACATATTTTTCCCCATAGATAGACATTTTTTCTTATTCCCGCAGGGAAAGTATAATGTTCTTTTTTGTGTGTTTTGTTTTTTTCCAATATGCTTCTTTTTGTTTGTTTTTATTTACTTTCCAGTTAACAGACAATGTAATATTAGTTTCAGGAGTAGAACTTAGTGATTCAACACTTCCATACAACATGCAGTGCTCAACACAACAAGTGTACCCCGCAATCCCCATCACCTATTGAGCCCAGCCCCCTCACTCTGTTTTATTTAGAATAATATAATCTCATTAGTCTATCTTTATGTCTACAACTACTATGATGTCTACGTAGAATAGTATTTACATTGTTCTTTTCTCTCAATCTAACCGTTTGTGAGAAGAACCTGGGTGGCTCAGCGGTTGAGCATCTGCCTTCAGCTCACGGAGTGATTCCGGGGTCCTGGGATCAAGTTCCCCACAGGGAACCTGCTTCTCCCTCTGCCTATGTCTCTACCTCTCTCTCTCTCTCTCTCATGAATAAATAAGTAAAATCTTTAAAAATTAAATAATTAACCCTTCATGAAGCCCTGATCTTTTTCCATCTTTGGGAGACCCTTATCAATATTTTCATATATACTTAATGGGAGGAAGGACTAAACAAAATAGAGTGTGTGACTTTTCTAGAAGTAGAGATTACTCACTGGAGGAGACTGGAATAGAACATGTAAATTCACTCCCAGTCTTGGGCTTAAGCAACACTGAAGGGCAAAGTAAATGAGGTTTTGACAAAGCTGATGGAATAAACGTGGAACAACGCAAATAGGTGAACAACAACAACAACAAAATCAATGTAATGTCTCTGAAATCCTCCTGTAAGAAATTTTATTTTATCCCAGGACCCTGGGATCATGACCTGAGCCAAAGGCAGATGCTCAACCCCTGAGCCACCCAGGTGCCCCTATAAGAAATTTTATGTGAGGATTATTCACACCCACAGTTGCCACTTTGTAGGTTTTCTCTTTATAAAATGTCCCTTTCTTCATCTTCATCCCAACGGTACGTTACACCATCACGTGTCATTTGTACAAGGAGAGAGTCACTTTGTAGGTGTAGATAAAGAAAGTTGTATTAGATAATCATATGTATTCCTTTCCTGTGGCTGCTAGAGCAAATTCCCAAACTCCCATCTCCTGGGTAACTTAGAGCCATAGGAATTTGTTCTCTGGGTCCTGGAGGCCGGAGTCTGAAATCAAAGGCACTGGACCAACATCCCAACGTCAGCAGATGTACCTTCCTTCTGGTGGCTCTGGGGGAGAACCCCTTCCTCGCCTCTTCCAGCTTCTGCTGGTGCTCAGTGGCTCTTGGCCCCACCACTGGATCTCTGTCCTCACATCACCTTCTCCTGTGCATGTGTGTGAGTGCCTCCCGTTGCCTCCTCCTTACGAGGACACTTGGAACAGCATGTAGCACTCCCTCGGTTAATCCAGGGGAGTCTCCTATCTCAAGATCCTGAATCCCATCTGTCAGGTTGTGTGGGGTGTGTGTGCACGCATGCATGTGTGTGCCCCTGTGGATGGAGATAAACATCTTTTGCTGTTCAGTTAGGGTTCCACTAACTGAGTCTCCTTATGGGTCTAGATGTCCTAGGCCCTGGCCTCTGCCCCCCAGCTGTCACACTGTTGTTTGATGACCACTGTTTGTGCACCTCAGTCTAGCACCTGAGGTCTGTTTCTCATGTCTTCTGGCCTGTGGTGCCATGTGACTTGTGTGGGGACTGTGAGGTCACAGCTCACTCACTACTCTCCAAAACGGGAAACTTCTCTAATCCTCAGTGGCCTGACCCCCCCCCCCCAAGTACACAGCAACACAGAGCCCAGGCCCCCGGGGTCCCTTAATATTGAGTGGCTTTCTCTGGGTGCTGGACCTCTGGGGTGCTCTGGGGCCAGGAAATCTGTAGTGACAGGACCTCAGGGGCCTCCGACCTGGAGCTGATCATGCACCTCGGCTAAACCATCATTCTTATCTTAGACACAGGGATGGCTCCTTAACAGGTAGGATGTTCACTGACCCCAATCAGGGAAACAAGAGCTCGTCTGCCCTTGGAAACGTACTGAACCGTGGTAAGGCTGCAGCATCCGTGGCCAAGAGCGATGCAGCTTGGCTCTGGAATTACTATTGTGACCAAAGACTCAGCCCCCATTGGAAACCCCATTGGGTTCAATCATAAGCAATATAGTCCTGCCATCAGAGGAGGCGAGCCCACGCTGCCAGGTCTTTCTCCGCTGAGCCTGGACATGCCCAGCTTCTGGAGCTCCAGAATGAGAGCCCATCCGACCACAACTGGCGCTACTTTGCTGCTGAATTCCCAGGCTTCCATTACTAAAGGTCTCTGTTTGCTTCCTTCCCTTCCTTGCTCACTCACATTCTAGCAAAGTGCCTCTCTCCTTGCACAAATGACACAACGTTCCGGTGGAACCTAGAGTGGGCATGAAGATGAAGAAGTGGACATTGTATCATGAGAAAATGGACAACGTGGCGACTGTGGTTGTGAATCATCTTTAATTATCTGCCCTTGTCCCATGTATCGTATTTAAAATCCCCGAGAGTTTTAGGAGATGGTAGGAAAAATTGAGTTTTGCACACTCAGTGTGTCAGTGTTAACCTCCTCCTCATTGGGCCATTGGACGTGTGAACCAAGTTTCAAGATCCGCCTCCAACCCGCCTCCAACCCTGGCCTCTGACCCCCCTTTGGTTGTGCTGTTGAGGGCAGTTTGAGGACTGGAGGAGAACGGTTTGTAATTCCTAAATTGCAACAACAACAACAACAAAAACCTCCTAAATTGCTATAGCAGTTGTTGTCATTGTGTTTCTGGGCGTTTTCAGGAGACCCTCTCTGTTTGAACAGTCAGCTTGAATGCTGATTTTATCAAACTGTGTGAAAGCTCTTCCTGTGTCCCTCCTAAACTATCAACCTCCTCTTGCTACTTGGTTCCCAAGCTCATAAACTATTTCTCTCTCTCTCCTGAGCTTCCCTGCAGGCTTTCTTTCCTCAGAGCTCATAGGAATTGTTTTCAAATATAGTTTATAAAATCTCCAATGGTAAAGCCCTTAGTCCCCATTACCTGCCTTCCTCCCCTTAACTTCATTACAACCTGTCTCTCCTCAAACGGTCCTGAAACTTGCTCGTTTCCAAAACCAGAGTTTTGCAGGCGCTCCTCATCTCTTTCTATCCTGATTACTCTTCGCCTTCCCATCTATTAGCCACGAGCCTACTCAAACACATTCCGAACTTTTCAAAAATTCTACCTTGCTCTACATCTCAGAGCTATTAATAGGTCCTCTAAGTCTCTTCCTTGCTACCTAGAAGGGTCAAAAGTCTCAGAGTCCTCCCTGGATTTTGTCAATGAGAAAACGAGGTTATGTCATTGGCCCAAGTGCTACAGCAAGTGGCTAAACACAGTAGGCAAAGATCTGGATTTTAGGTAGGTCATCTGACTTGGGTTCGAAGAGAAGGACTTGAGAGAGCCCCTTTGTCATATGGGTGGATGGACTAGAATGCGAGGGGATGCTCACTCAGGGCTCTAAGCTGCCATGACTCTTGGGAATCCAACAAAATGTGAGTGGCAGGGCAGTAACAGGAGGTGCTGAGCTTGGATCCATGAGAAGCCACGTCTGTGCCTCAGCACACCAGTGTTCCATTCCTGACTGAACTGGAGTGAATGCCATCTTCCTTTTTCTTTTTTTTCCCAAAATGTGTGTAAAGTAGAGTTTTTAGGGGAAAAAAAGGTTGAGATTTGAACATGAAGTGATTTCGATTTCTTCTAGCAGCTGCCTCCATGCACATGGTGTTGGAGTTTCCCTTTCTTACTGGTTATGAGTCCCTGCACGATTACTGGCCATAGTTTATAACTTCCAATAAATTTTGGTTATCACAGAAGTCTTGTTTCATCTTTTAAAGATTCATTTCTGTTCATTTTTTAAAATGAAATTACTAATTTAAAAAAAAGCTTTCCCCATGATCCCAGGACTGGCTAGATCCAAATAGACAGGTCCTATGTTTTTCTTTTGGGGAAGGAGCATGGTTTGCTCTTTATGAAGCTTTGCCTTCCCCTCTTTTAGCTGCTGGCTCCCCGAGCGTCCTGAGAAGACTAAACATCTCCTTACTTAACTGGGAGGTGGCAGTTGTGTCCCCGGTTCGCTGTAGCTGCTAACCTGGGTTGTGATCCTTGGGATGGACACTGGCTCCAACCTGCCCTGCTCAAGCCAGGCTCGAGCCTTTGAAGCTTTCCTGGGCATTGTCCATTCATTCTTAAGTTTGGCCACCTCCACTGCTGACCCCCAGCTGGCACATTCACATGCCCTTCCTCTGTCTATGCTGCTTTGCTTCTCCTGCTTGGTTTCCCAGCAACTCTATTACCCTGAGTCTCATCTTCTCTCTGCAGCCATCTCCAGGTAGGACCAGTGGGACCCATCGTCCTTACCTTCCAGAAACCCTAAACAGCCCTGACTCCCCTCCTTACCTCACAATCTCTGAATGACCACCCTAGTTAGCTTTCCCCCACTTAAGGAGAATGGGGGCAGATCAACAAGTCCCTGAATAACAGACATCTACTTAAGAGGCAAAGTGTCCATGTGCTTTCAGGCAAGGCCAAGCCTTATGAGGATTCTCCTGACACCCTTGCCTCTCTGGGTTTGGAGGAACAAAGCATCTGACCCTCTGCAAACTGCATTTCCTACCACAGGCTGCCTTCTCCCCTCTCAGTAGCATCATACCCCTTGAGGAGAAAGCCAGCTCCAACAGGTATGTCTCTAGATAGACTCTGGGGAGGTAGCTGGCTCTCTCACAGATGCCTCCTTGAGTTTGGAATTTGAATCATAGAATGACTTCTGTTCATAGCTTTGAGTCACCAAAATTTTAACCAACATGAAAAACTCCACACAGCATCGTTGTCTATACATATGTAATAAAATAAAGGCATTTTTCTAAAAATTGTTCATATTATAACAAAGTAATTTTCATTTAAGTAGAAGTATGTCATACCTGAGAGTTCCAGGAAGTCACATAATTGTCACCCAAGGAAGAAACCTGGGATTTACCTGTACAGCATCCAAAGGCTGCATTTACCAACAATCCCTGGAGCTTAGAGGATTACCAGGCCCTTTTGAAGATTAATGCTCTATTTATACTTCTTGTCTCATCATTTCAGCATATGTTCAACACTGGTTTAACAGTGACCCTATTTATACTTTATAAAGTCCACCCATGCATATGAGATAGAAAGTGGTTTTAATGAAAAAATATTATAATTCACAAATTATCTGGATCAAGAATGCAAGAAAATGTGCAAAGGGATGCCTGGCTGGCTCAGTTGATAGAGCATAGAACTCTTGATCTTGGAACTGTGCATCCGAGCCCCCACATTGGGTATAGAGATTATTCAAAAGTAAAATATTAAAAAAATATATGCAAAAGATTGAATACTGCCAAACTTTGATTTCTAAAATAATCAAGCGATGATATTTCCATAATTTTGAGGATCATAATTTGAGTACCCAAAGATTAAGAAATGAGCAGATACATGCCCTTCATAATACATACTGTTCTTTTTGCAATTAATTAAACAATGATTTTCTTGATTTGTATTCCTCTTTTAAAGTTTGAAAGATTATCTGAATCACATTTTGAGTAATCGTTTTGGTGACCACTTAATTCGATCTGAGACTTTTTTTTTTTTTTTAAGCAATCTACTTAAATTAAAACAGGCTGGGGCCTCAGGCTCTACTTGTTCCCTTTTGACCCTTTTGAAGAGCTTCACCTTCACAGGTGTTGGGAGATTGACTCATGGTGGGTAGTGTTCTCCCCCTGGTGGACAAACAGAAAAGGAAGCCTCTCTTCATTTGAGGATTAGATTACAATTTTCTTTTTTTTTTTTTTTAGCATTTTCTACACTTTTATTCTGTGATCATGATTACAATTTTCAAGCACGCTGTTTGGGGGGCTTAGTTTCTCCCTAAAAAGCTCCACTTTGTTACATTCAAGTTACCAAGACTCCATCAAGCAGTCTATGGATCTTTTTCGTTGTTTATCTCCACTTTTGTCTTTTTTTTTTTTTCCTTTGTGGTTCTCTTCCTCATTAAAATTATTCAGCCAACAATATTTCTTAAATGTCGGCCGTGCGTCAGGCACAGCTCTAGGCACTGGGGATGCAGCAGTGAGGGTGATTCAAAACCCTGGCACTGGGAGCTTATGATAATGTCAGATCGTGTTCACTGTGCGTTCCCTACATACCAGATTATGTACTTAGTGATTTTAAGTATTATTTAACTGAATACCGCCAACAACCCTATGTGGAAACTGAGAGGCTAAGCAGTTTGCCCAAGACCCAAACCAGGTAGGGAGAAGTTTGCAACACCCCCAACCCCATGGGAACTCTGAACCTTGTGGTCTTCATTTGATTCTCATTATAGCCCCCCCCTTTTTTTTAATTGCCTGTTTCCTCTGACTAACAGATGTTCTCCATGAGGGCAGGGACTGTGTCTGCTTGTTCACCATAACCCAGAGCCTAAATCCTGCCACAGCTCTTCTCCGGAATAATTGGTTAAATGGCTTCATGGTAATGGGATCAATGAGTTGAAAACTGAACTCTGGACTGATGGACTTCAAAGCCCTTCTCACCAAGGGACTCTACTACTCCAATGAGACTCCAAAATAGCAACCCTATACTCATTGGCTCATCTGAATTATTTTGGAATTATACATCCTCTCTATTTCCTTAAAGAAAAGGTGAAGACAACAGATCTTGTTCTAAAATGAGCAAGATCTGATTCTTTAGATTAAAAAATCTTTTTTTAAGATTTTATTTATTCATGAGAGAGATGCAAAGACATAGGCAGAGGGAGAAGCGAGCTCCCTGTGGGGAGCTCGATGAGGGACTCGATCCCAGAACCCCAGGGATCAAGACCTGAGCTAAAGGCAGACGCTCAACCACTGAGCCACCCAGGTGTCCCTAGATTTGAAATCTTTGAACGGATTTTCATTTGCCTCCTCCCCTGAATTTTACAGCTAGGGAAGACAGGAAGAAGCCAAAGCAAAATTCACGCTGGGCCTAGTGGATCCTCCCTTTAAAAGCCATTGATGCCTTGTGGTGGAGGGTGGAGCAAGATGGTGGAGCAGCCCCTTCCCGAGCTACTGAACCTGCGGTGAGTACAACCTGTGCCTGTACAAACAGGTCAATCTCCATGGTATTTCCCTGGTATTGGTTATTTTATAGGAGTTATTCCCAGAATCATTATATACCCGACATCATTATTTGCCACTTGCCAAGTGACTTAAGAGCATGATGGCCATCATTCAAATCTATTAACCTTTCTTACTGTGTTTGCAAGTAATCAGCAGCATTCTGGTCTCAGTTGCCTGGGGCAGAATGGTAAATATTGAAAGAGTAGTCTTGTCATTTGAAGGGCTTCTGGCTTGAATAAATGTTTGCTGAGGCTGCAGCGATGCCCAGGTGATTCCTTGGCAATAGAGCAGGAATCACCTTCCAGCGCTAGGGAGAGCAGGAAAGATCACCAGATGCAGGGACAGCTTGCAGGGTGGATGGCTCCCAGTCTACCCTTTAGGTTTGTAGTTTAAAGAGGAAGTGCTGGTGTCTGCTCCTATTATAAGAGACCTAGTGAATAAAACAAACCAAAAGGAGAAAACAGGAAAGTGATTTCGGGTGACAGTTGTTACACGACGACAAGAAACATCCCAAGGGAATCTTGAACATCACAAATCAGAAGGCCTAGCCTATCCTCCAACCTTTATTAAGATCAAAGGGATGGTTCTTCTCTAAGTCTCTCGTGTGGGGGGAGTTAGCTCTGTAAAGGTGAGTTTGCCAGTTAATTCCATACAGTTCTTCCTTTTTGCACACAAAGCTCTTCTCCCCAGGCAGATTGTGTTTACAGTTGATAACCACCATTTATTCTCTCCAACCTCTTCCTTCTCTCTTTCCCACCAGCCCATCTTCTCCTACAGTGCAAAACTCCTTTAAGCCTCTATGCAAAAGCCTCTCACATTTTCCTAAATCTCCCTTTCCTACCTGTAGGTGGCTACCCCAACTGCCCTCTGGGCATCTCTCTTTGAACTTCCTACTCTTGCTCAACCTGTCCCAAACTGAACTCATCCCAAAATCTGCTCCTCTTTCTAATCAGTGCCAAAGTCCTGAGTCGGGTTTTGGATCTACCTCCCTCTCATGAGTTCCTGGCTGCCCTCAGTCAAGTAGCACTCACTCTTTTCTCTGAAATTCTTTTAATTGGGGGATCCCTGGGTGGCGCAGCGGTTTAGCGCCTGCCTTTGGCCCGGGGCGTGATCCTGGAGACCCAGGATCAAATCCCACGTCGGGCTCCCGGTGCATGGAGCCTGCTTCTCCCTCTGCCTGTGTCTCTGCCTCTCTCTCTCTCTCTCTCTCTCTCTGTGTGTGTGTGTGTGACTATCATAAATAAATAAAAATTTAAAAAAATGAAATTCTTTTAATTGGCCTCCATGCTTTCCAAATGCCACTCCTGTATGAAACCTGCCCATTTATCTTTTTAAGCACAACTGCTGTCCATCTCTCCGCTGCCCAACAACCATGAGTAGCCCATTAGCAATTTAGAGAGAGACTCCCTGGCCCAGCTGCACCTCCAGAACTCTTCACAATGGAGAGTTCCTGGATTTACCCTGAATGCCCACTAAACTGCAGAACTCCCCCTCCGCCAAACCAACCAGTCCTCTCCTGTCTCCAGGTGTTCCCACAGCTGCTTCTTCATGGTATGCTGGTCTCAATTCCACCTTTCCCAATTCCATCCATTCTTATGGCCTTCAACTCAATTCAAAAGCCAGTTTCCAATTCCTCCTGAGTCTTTCTCCCAACTCTTCATAGCACAATGTTGGTGTCCCTCCCATCACACATTGCTTATTTTCTTCCTCTTGGTATTATAGTTATTGATTTACATATCTTATTAGACACACATGCCATACCCCTACCCTGCACATATGCCCCCCATGACTCCCCCCATGACCTACACACAACCCCCACCACATTCACATCACACACACACACACACACACACACACACACCATGCTGGAGGTGGTGACTTATGTAGTTAGGGGAAAATAGCAGCTTTGGATCGTAACTCTAACACCTACCTACATGGCTTTGGGCAAATTTCTTATCTATTCTGGACTTAGTTCTCTGATGGTAAAAAGTAATGCTCAGCCTTTTCAAATTAAATTAAATGTTTATTAACTGCCAGATGCTCACAAAATCCTGGCTAATTCTGGCCCTTGTTGTTCTATCACCCTTCTTGTCTGCAGATCATCTTACCTAGCCCATACCTTAGACAAAATAGTTTCTCAGAATGTTGGTTGTATTGAAAGATCTTGTCTTTAGGTGGACCTTTTGCTTAATACTTATCTCAAAATTTAGTAGCAGTTTGACAAGCATTGTGTTGACCTACAGGGCACTGAAGAGCATTTCCCAATTAGATTTCAGACTCCAGGGTTTTCAGCTGGCCCACACTGACCCACTTCCTACCCAATTATTGTAAAGCTGATCTTGGTATGATGAAGACTAGCTGTCACTTCTGTTTTAGAACAGATGGATCTGTATGACAAATAGATATCCAGAAAGTGAAAAACCGGCAAATGCATTGAAGCCTAACAACCTCAAGTCTGGTTTCTAAGACAGAGAGCCAGTGTCAGACTACATCAACCCAAAGGCTCCCTGAGGTCATTTAGCTGAGATGTCTCAGACTGTGGTCTCACCAGAGCTTCCTCCTGGGAATGATTGAGGAAAGTAAAACAGGAGACGAAAATCTGGTTTTCCCAGCCACAGACACATGAGCAGTCATTCAGATAAATAGAGCAAACAGTTACCCATGTGTTACAATTCCCAGGCTTCGTCCCACTGACAGTGATTCGCAAAGGCTGGAGGTTGTAGTAAAGACAGAAGGGCAGAGAGTACATTTCTCTCACCGAAACATATCCAGACAACCTAGGGGTCCCCTTCTCTTCTAGTAATTCTGAGAATCACTCTCTAAAACTCCTATAAATTTATGCCTACTTTGAGGATTAAGTAAAGGAAGACAAGCAGGGATTAAGACAGAAAGGTTTGGGGGCCAACCAGGAAAGGGCACAACAGAGAGAAGGGTAGTCTCATCAAAACATCCATCCACATTACTGCTTCAGACATGAGTTTTCTAGCTGGTACGTGTACCACGAGTTTAATGAAGAACAGCAAAGCACAGCTGCTTTTTGATAGAAAAATTTAAAAATCATTCACTAATTAGCAGTACATTAGTTCTCTAGTTCACACACTTGTCCTCTCCCCTTTCCCCCAGGATGAGTGAGCGTGTGTGCTCGTGTGTGTACATGCATGCATGTGTGTGCACACACATACATGGGGCTTTCTCCAGGTCAGCCAAAGGTGTTTACTCTGCATCTGTTGCCAAGAATATTTTTTCTCTATAGAAGCTGAGTGCAATAATTACTTACATATTTGTCTGGCTCTCTGCCTGTTTCTTGTCATGTTCCAGAAAGAATTTAAGATGGCTTATGTGGTTATTGTACTATGACAAGAATTTTAAATTGGAAGTGAGGTGAAAGAAGAAATAAATACAAACCAAAGATGCAAACACAAGGGGACAGGAAAATAATTAAGTATAATAAAATGATCTATATACCTGCTACCAGTGAACCATACATTTGCTTTGTAAGCTTTCCAGTGGCTGAATTTAAAAATTAATCAATTACATAATTCTCATCTATAAGAGGGATTCCCAAACTTTTGTGTGTACCTGAATCACCTGATGAGCGTCTAAAACTATAATCATTCAGGCCTCATCAATAGACTTTAAAATTCTGTATATCTGGGGTGAGATCTTGAGGTTTATCATTTTAATGCATTCTTATTAATCTCTCAGATAAAAGGACACCAATCTCTCAGGGCAAGAACAATTATTCCCGATGTTAAGATCTACAGGACTTTTGGGGCGGTGCCTGGTGGCTCAGTCAGTTAAGCATCTGACTTCTGCTCAGGTCATGATCTCAGGGTCCTAGGATCCAGCCCTGCATTGGGCCCCTCAGTCAGCAGAGTCTGCTTGTTTTTCTCTCCCTCCCTTTCTCCCCCGCCCCTGCCCACCACCCAGTGGTTTCTGTGTCTCTCTCTCAAGTAAATAAATCTTGTAAAAAAAATCTACAAGATTTTCTTCTAGGGATTTACAAAGAAAACCTTGGATTTCACAAGAAACATTTTTACAGAGCTTCAAGATGAATTTCAGAGGTCCACAGGTTGCTGCTTATAATAACCTTCAAAATAGGCTTTTATGTAGTTATGTGAAAGTAATTATGTTGAGAGTTGGTAAAGAGGGGACTAGAAACAATAATGTTCTCCAGGAACTTAATTTTTGCTAGTTTGCCCTGCCCTGGAATAGGAACTAAAAGGATTTTAAATGGACTCAATCCCATTATCACTATATGGAGCCAAAAAATTAAGAGCTCTTTAGTAAGTATGTCAGCAGAGTGTGCAAGCTACAGGGCTATGTCAGCACTGAGGTTTCTCTACAAACTATAATATGAGTTTGAAGAAATGTAACCTAGTTAATCTTATCTTGTAAATTTATTCTTGAGGAGTCGTATTGTTTCCCAGTTTGAATTCTAGTAGAGAGGCGAGGCAAAGGGCACCATGGAGTGGGAGGGTAGAAAAAAGTGAGCTCATCCTTAACATGGACATTGTTCTTCATGAGACCCAAGTCTGTTTTTAGTGAATTCAAATCACCAAAAATTCTCGATGTGGTAAAGCTCTTATTATACACACAAACTTTGTGTGATCTTGTAAAATTTCCTTCATTTCGATTTTGTAGCAAAACAGACTTAAGTTTTATTGTGTTTTTCCTGTCTCACATCTTGTCACCTTGAAACTGAAGTGAATCTGTAATATTTTGGGGTTTTCCATGTTCTGTTTTTTAAATAAATCAAGAATTAGTTTATGTCCCTTTATGAAAGGGACAGTTAGGGCTAGTTTTAGACCATTTATGATTTGCAGGTGTGCACAAATTACTGCTTTTACCTGGGTACAAAATGACATAAGAAAGGTGCTATTAGTTGTTGAAACCTCACTCACTTGTTCAA